TTCTGGACCACCTGCCTTAGAGTAGGAGCATGCCGGTCAATGCACCATGATCCTTCCGGTCGATGCACCATGATCCTACTCTAAGGCCGGTGGTCCAGATTAGGAATGTAAATACAAGGAATAAAAACTAATAATCTTTATTGTGAACAAATCGAGTTAACTGACCATGTCTCGGCGGTGCCATCATCTTGCCACTGACTTCCATGACTCGAGGAGTATTGGCCTTTCCAGTGGGTCCAGCAGTCTTCTTTCCAGCATTTGGTAGTTCGGACATTTGGTGCGAGAGTTGTTCGGGAGCAGTTGGGACGTTGGTCTTCAGAAGAAGTAAACTGATCTTTCTGTCGAATTCGTTTCCTTTTATAGCCATCAGAGGGGGCGGAGCTTGACGTGGAGGTCGTGGAGGTCAGGGCAGATTGGAAGATTGGAAGAGCTTGGTCACGTTGGAATTCACGGGAATAGATTATTAGTTGAAAGATTTTAGTGTATTTGAGACACGTGGAGTCTCTATAAATATTTGTAGTTTGTAGTCGTGCAGGAGGACTACTGCTGCCGCGACATATCTTTCTTTTAGCCGATAGCAAAAAATTGTTAATTGATAAAAGGTAGCTCATATTACGATAAAAACTTTATCCGTTGACAAATTTTCGATATCTCTTATAGGGACCGAGATAATTGAGCTCAAAGTAGGGACTTCTATTAGAGAAAAATGAAATCCTCACCATAGAATGATGAAGATTCGCTCCAAAATATAAGCTGAATCCTAAAATGTATCCAGAAAAAATTGGATAAAGAGGAACTGGTTGCATAAGGAAAGTAAGATGGATATCGGTTAGACAACAAGCGATCTGTAAATTTTAGGTAATAAGGATTTTGGATTTTTTGAATTTTAAAGGTTTTTTGAAATTTTGCATTTTTGAATTTTTGAAATTTGGAATTTTGGAATTTTTAAAATTTAATGAAGTTTGTTTGGATGTATGTTTTGAACTTTTCTCGATTGTTTTATTTGAATTTTGAATGTTCTGAATTTTTTTTGAATTCATTAGGATTTTAGGAATTTTTTAGGATGTTTCGGATTTTTTGAATTTCTGGATGTCGAATTTTCAAAAATTTTGAAATTTCAAACATTTTTGTTTTTATGGATTTTTGCATTATTTGAAATTTTCAAAATTTGCGAAGTTTTGAATTTTTCGAATTTTAAAAATTTCTAGAATATTAGAATTTTTCGGATGTGTAGTTTTTCAAAATTGAATTCCTGGATTTTTAGGTTTTTTGCTTTTTGGAGTTTTCGGTTTTGCGGGATTTTTGGACTCTTGAATTTTTCGAGATTTTGAATATTTTTCAAGTGTTTGGAATTTTTGATTTTTTGAATTTTTGAATTATTTGGATTTTTTGATGTTTGAATTATTTAAATTTTGAGAAACGTTCCCTGAAAAAAATTACCTGAAAATTCAACAAAAAATACCGGAAATTATCAATTTGACTACTTTTAAAAAGTATCAAATAAATCGAGAAAATATCGAAAATCAATGAAGTTGCACCGATAATATGGTAATAAGTGATAAGCCAGTATGGAATGGAAAAATCAATATCATACATCAGAAAAGAAATTGAAAAAGAAATTGATTAAATTTTGAGCTGATCAAAGATAAATGGGCGGAGTCTAACAGGTGAAAATTGAAATTTTCGTGCCAATAATCATTTTCAATTTTAGAGAATCTAAAAGTTGAAAAGTTGGTGAGAAAGTTGTTTTTAATGAAAAAAAATAGTGATAAAATTTGAAATAAATCAATTTCCTCCGGAAGATCAGAGACTGAAAACTTTAAATCTGTTACGTCCTTAGGATCCGGCATTCTGGCCGGCTCAAGGAATACGAATAGTAGTTATAGAATACAGATTTATTCAGATACTAAAGATGTACGAGAATAGAGGGGGAAAAGTAGAGAAGGCTGGGAGAGACTACGACAGACCGAGAATGGTTGTCAGCCCCAAAGAAAGAGGGGTTCTGACCAATGCAACAACTAAGAAGAAGAGTGCCAGAGAAGGACGCTCTTCTTAGGTGGGTAGATCACAAATAATTTGGTAGATCAAATGGAAGTATGCATAAAATGCAACAAAACCAATTTGGCGGAAAAAGATATTTATCCAATTTATTTGATTTTCAATTATAGCTTACTCATAAAAATAGGGTTTTTTGGATTCTCTTAACTATTTCAGATTCATCAAAACTGTTAAGAATACAAAAAAGACAGATACCGTATCACTTTGAGCTCAAGTATCTCTATTCTTATCAGAGATACCAAAAAGTGACCAACTGATAAATTGTTCATCATAATGTCACAAATATTTTATCAGTTGGCAGATTTTTGATATCTCTCACAGGAACCAAGATAATGGAGTTCAAAGTAAGGAGCTTCTATAAGAGCAAATTCTGGCTCCTTCTAATTGTCAACTTTGATTCAATTTATATCGGTTCCTGTCAAAGATATAAAAAGTTGTCAACTGATAATGTGCTTATTATGATGTCAAAAAATTTATCAGTTGACACTTTTTTGCAATCTCTAATAACAACCGAGATAATTGAACTCAAAGTCTGGGAGGCTTCTATGGAGCACATTTTTATGTGCTCAAATGAGAAATCACAACTGTAGATGTTTTAGCAGATAATGCAGGCAAACCAGCGGTTCTGAAAATTTTTGATTAGTTAATTACCCCAATCAAAAAACCAACTCCTTTCTCAAAAACACCCGACAAAAAAATGCCCTATACGGTGGAAAAGTTGCCACTAAAACTGATACATTCAATGGGGAATGAGTGCAAGCGATGGCTAGAAGGAGCTCGACCAGAACTGAAATATCTTTCTTTTTCAGATTTCAAATTTCCGGGTTACATACCCTGCGCATACGGTAGCTTGAAAAAGACCACGAAAACTAGCGAAATCGGTGGTAGGAAACAGACTGATGACGTGGCGAATTGAGCGATCAAACTATAGACAGCGGCACGATGGCGTTTGTAGGTGTTGGCGGACATTTGGATTTTCATAAAACTCAACATTCGAAAAATGTTATAAAGGACGGCCATGAAGAATAGGAAAGCGAGGAGGCCACCGGTGACAGCGACTATGACCATTATGAAGAGCATTGAGTTGGCTTGGTAGATGGAGAAATTTGGAAGAGCTTGGAATTGAGATTGGTATTCCGGAAGATTCTGAATTGCAAATTCTATTATTTTTGAGATTGCTGGTGTGCCCCTATGTTTTATGGTCCATATCAATAAAGGGCCAGAGCAAAATAAAAGGTCCATTAGACTAAAAAAAAAGGGTTTTCGAAAAATAAATAGACCTCTCTGAAAATTGAACATTTTCCAGAAGTTCGTGTTTTCTGGCCAAAATTATTGGTTCATCATTAGCTCGAATCGCTATGTTTTTCATTACAAATGACCTAAAAATATCTTTTCCTTTTTTCTAGGCCGTTTTACCATTTTCGCAAGTGGAGTATTTTAGGCCACAAACTTTTATGACCTAGAAATGGCCAGGTATTTCCCTGTTTTGTTTTCTAGGTCATTTTAATATAGTGGCCTAACTTTCGCAATATGAGTGTTCTAGGCCACTATGGCAAAGGGCCTAGGAACGTCCTGATATGCACCTGATGCGTTTACTAAACCATTTTAACATCGTGGCCTAACTTTGAGTTTTCTAGGCCACCATGGTAAATGACGTGATATTCACCTGGTTACGGCCTAACTTTTGCAAGGGGATTTTTTTAGACAATCATGGTAAATGAACTAGAAAACACTCCGGGGGAAAATGATTTCTAGGTCATAACTTTCGGTGGCCTAGAAAAATTATGTTGAGAAAATTAGTCCATAGAAAGTATATCAGAGGAATATTAAACAATTTCTAGGTCAAAAACTTTGGAGGCGTATAGAAATCCTAACTAGCAAAAATTAGGTCACTAAATGAGCGCAATGCGCGCAATTTAGTAGTCCCAACGTTTGTTTGAAAGAACTTTTTTTATAGCCAGATTCCCTACCTCTTTAACAAACTTCATTTTCTTCGATTCTTCAACACTCAAACTGTAATACATCCCAACCACCGTTACCGTATACACCAGCAGAAAAATTAATAAAAACCAAATCAAAAATCTTGGAATTGAAAATGAAGTTAGTGTTCCAGAAATGGACTGATTCTTCTTCACAAAACAAACAATCATACTGGCCACTTGGTAGATATACAGGAAAACCACAATTGTCTGAAAATCCTTTTTTTTTTGGATTTTAATTTTTGAAAATTTTTAGTACAATACAAAAATGCAAGGTTACACCAAACCGAGTTGCCAGAAAACCCATCGCATATCCACCCATTAAAGGATACAAAGGTACTGGTTGCATTAGGAAAGTGATATGGATATCAGTGAACATACAAGCGATCTGTGATAAAAAGTTTTATATCAGTCCAAAATTCGGAAAATTTTAAGTAAAAAACCTGAAAATTCTGCAAGAAAAATCGGAAACTGTCCACTTGGCTACTCTTGAAAAGTATGAGGTAAACCGAGAATACATCGAAATTCAGGGAAATTATTCCGATGACGTGGAAATACCAGATGAGCCAGAGGGGTTCAGAAAAGTCAACATTATCAAGCATAGCTGTTTAAAAAATTAAAAAATAATGCTGAAAATTATAGTTTTTATTATTTTTCCTAGACAGGTGAATTAGGGGGGAAATTGGGTGTTATAGGCTATATTTTTTAATGACTAACAAAATTTTCTGCAATTATAAAAAAAAAATGAAATAATCTGAAATTGATTCTGGTAAAACGTAAATGCGGCCGGTCGCGGTCAGCCGCAATTCTCAAACTAAAAAACTGATTGAGAATAAAAAGTTCATGGAAAAATATCACATGATTTTTTGCACTTGTAAATAGGTCAGAAGTTTTCAAGACAGGTGGAAATTTATACTTTGAAGATATTCACTCGGCTTGTAATTTATGGTCAGAAGTTGGGCAGATCTTAGTCAGGTTCTGGCCGGAGCTTGCCCAAAAACGGCTGTCTAGCGGGTCATGGCCAGATTTTGGTCGGAGAACTACAAAAAGGCACAAACCTTTGCGAAAACTCGGAGAATGAAACGATCTGGCTGAGTGAAGCGGGTTCAAGATCATATTCGAGAACAGTTCAATACAGTTCAAAAAGAGTGTCCAGTTATGTTCGCCGCTACCGACTGAGCCACGCGGGCAAAGAGAAAGCGGCACCTCGATTGCATACATAAAGGCGAGGACGACAGCTGTACGCAGAGTGACATTAAGCGTTGAACACCGTCACGGTAGAATGCATACTCTAGCTACAAAAAAACTACGAAAAATCTCCTGTCCCCCCACCTTTAATAGTGAGAGATGTCCACTTGTTTGGCGTAAGTTTTGATTCTAGAATTTACAAAAAGGGCCCTCTGATGGTATAGAAAACTCAACTTGTAAAAGTTAGGCCACCAAAACAGTTTTCATTAAATTTCAGAATGCGGTCACACATCCTGCAACGGTTTTTCTCAAACCATAGTAACAATGCAAAGCCTTTTAAGCCACAGTGTCCAGTTTGTCGCAAAAAACATATGCTAATTCATCCCGAATTTCGGATTGATGCCACAGCCAACTTAATGTTGGTAGTTCGTTGGTTTTACTGCCCTTATAGATCTTTTGAAACTTATTTTTTTGTAATGGTTTTCCAATTCCTTAGGGTTTTTCATTCGGGTTTTTATTGTTATTTTCTCTAGAATACATACGTATGTTTTATAAAATCGGGTTTATTCGAAATAAAATGTTAAAAAAAATCATATCAACTGATATTTACAAACAGCTCCGTACTGATTTTCAGCATCGCCCCATGACACATCATTGATTGTTTGGAAACTTTCATCAATCAGGGCAGCGCTCAAACAATTTTCTCTGATCTTATCACTGAAAAATGACCTGATTACGCTATACTTATTAAAACGCCGTTTTTGGGGCCGTGGCTGGACTAGAAAACTCGAGCTCGTTCCTAATACCAACTAGGGCCAACTTCTGAAAAAGCTCGTTTTTCAATGCATTTTTCGGAATTTTTGAATTTTTCATTTTTTTTTGTGAATCTACAGTATTTTTGGCCGTTTTGGCCATTTTCAAGAGTCTGGAGCTCGGCTGTCAACTTTCCGCTCACTTAAAAAATATAGAAAGATGTGAAACAGAGCTAGGTTGAAATTCTTGCTTTCCCAGAAATTTTAGAAAATCTCTAGTTTTTGAGCTATTTGCCGATGTCTGAAAAACCTCCCTTTGGTCCGTTCTTGTCCTGAAAACCAGAAAAACCAAGCGCTTTTCAGAAATCAGCAAACCTAGGACTTTTCAAAAAATTCTGTGAATGCAAAGTTACCAATCTATGTAGGTCTGTTTTACACCTTCCAGAAATTTTCAAAGTGGTCGAAAACTTGACAGCCGAGTTCCAGACTTCTGAAAGTGACCGAAAATCAACTGAAAAATATGTTTCTGTAGATCTTATTGACCGGTACTACCTATAACTCAATGAATTAGTTCACTCTCAATCACTCTTTTGTGTCGGCAAGGCTTCTGTTGAGCCTGGTGTTTCTACTTTCGAGTCTCCCAAAGCAACAAAAAGCCGTCTCGAACATAAAAATTTACTGCCGAGTCTGCCTTTCTAGGTGCCACCCTCACGAGGTCAATACAAAACCAAAACCTCGTCTAAAGTTGTACATAATGTTTCTTCAGCGGCAATATTTATTTTTTCTATTGAATGTTTTGCATTATTCGGCTGCTGGTTTGTTGTATAGTTGATTACTGACTACATCCATGATTTTTAGAAAATCAAAAAATGATGTTGGTATTTGGAAAAGTGGAGAATGTAGACTTGGCCGATGGTCCAGTCAAATCGGAGAAGAACTGTATTGATGGCTGTTTCAGTGAGACGGATTGTGTTGTGGCATACATGAATTCAAATGGGAACTGTATCTCCTTCAATTACAATTATGAAAAAAAGCTATCAGTGACTGAAACTACTAAATCAGAGGGATTGAAAGTTGCGATCAAGGTAATGCAAATTTTCGGAAAATAATTTGGAGGGTATTATAGTTTTAGGGGCATGGCGGTAAAAGTAATTTAGGGTTACAAAATCTTTAACTCGAGGTTACCAAATACCTGGAAAATTCTTATTTAGTTCCTCGAACTGTGGATTATGTACCACTGAATCACTCTGAACCCCCTTGTAACTCCGAATCGTTGTACCCTAAACTTATTTTCAGACTAGTTTCTCCCTTACCGAATGCCCATTTTATGATCAGTTAGAAATGAATGTGAATGAAAATGACGAGTCTATATCATGGAGAAGAACTTCCAATGGATGGACCTTCATGAGATGCATTGATAACTGGACAATGTTCACTAGGAGCAAGACATCTGTTGTTTGTATGCAAACATTTCCTATAGCAAAAGGGGTTACAAAAAATGAATCCATACAGTTTTGTGAGGAAATGGGGATGGGATTCAAATTGACCGGGGTTGCTTCTGCAGACGAAACACAATGGATAGTAGGTAATGTTTTCATTTTTTCAAATTTCAAATGGAAAGTGGTGTATGGGAAACCTTTTTTATGCTTTATTTTGGCCAGGAAATCATGTACAGTACCGCTTGATCAGACATACAAAATCGTCATTTTCAGCAAGGCTGTGCCACGGCCGGCCGCGGCCGGCTTTTACTACGGCCGAGCCGGCCGCGGCTTCCGAAAAAACTTTTGATGAAGCCGCGGCCGGCCTAGGCTAGCCGTGCGGCTTTTCAAGGCTTTTTAAAATAATTGTTTCATGAGAAACGTAGATTTTTTTGAAAAGTGGGACACAAAAAAAACGAAATTCTTCAAAAACTAATAGATTTTCACTTCACGCGTTTTTATAAGGCCAGACGCGGCCGGCCTCGGCTAGCCGCGGCTTTTCACGGCTTTCACATAAAATCCGGAGCCGGCCGCGGCCACAAAAAAAGAGCCGCGGGCGAGGCCGCGGCTGGCCGCCATTTTGCACAGCCTTGATTTTCAGTTGATTTTTGGCCATTTGGACCATTTCCAGTCGCCTGGCGCTCGACTGTCAAGTTTTAGATGATATTGAAAACTTTGAAGAGTTCAAAACGGATTGAAAATTTTGGATTCACAGAATCTTCTGAAAATTCCAAGCATCTTCAACTATTTGCCAATTTTTGAAAGAAACCTGTTGTTCGCGTTTTCTGTAGAGAAAATGACCTAAAAGGGGTGTCTTTCAGAAATCGGCAAAAATCTGAAAACTGAAAATTTTCAAAAAATTTAGTGAATGCAAATTTTTCAATCTCTATCTCTTTTACACCCTCCAAAACTTTCAAAATAATTGGAAACTTGACAGTGGAGCTCCAGAGTTATGAAAATGCGGCTAAAAATCAACTTAAAATAATGTTTTTGTATGTCTTATTGATCAGTAATGTACATTGTTTTTTGCACAATTTGAAATAAAAATTGTTTTTTGCACAATTTGAAATTAAATAAATGTTCTCTCTTCCAGGAAGAATACAAGTTGTTGAAAACTGGCAAGGATATTGGATAGACGGGGAGAGAATACCTGTTGACGGCAATGTAAGCTGAACGTGTATATTTCGATTAACCGCTTGCTTTTTTCAGCATTTTGAATGGACTGATGGCTACACTAAAGGAAATTCTGCATTGAGTTCCAGCAATGCAGCGCTTTCCGGCTGGGATTACTAGTAAGTACAGCGTAATCAGGTCAATATAATCTGATTTTTCAGTAAGACAGTCAGAGAAAATTGTTTGAGCGCAGCCAGAATCGATGAAAGTTCCCAAACAATCAATGATGTGTCATGTGACGATGCTGAGAATCAATTTGGAACTGTCTGTGGATATCAGTTGATTTGATTATTCTAAACTATTCATTTTGAATAAACACAATTTTATGAAACATATCCTAGAGGAAAAAACAATAAAAACCCGATTGAGAAACCCTGAAAACTTGAAAAATCACTACAAAAAAGATAAGGGTGCATTACCAAAACTACGTTGGCTTTGGCATCAATCCGAAATTCGGGATGAAGTTGCTTAGCATATGTTTTTTGCGACAAACCGGGCACAGTGGTTTATTAGGCTTTGCGATGTTCACTAGGGTTCGAGAACAAGTGTTGCAGGATGTGTGACCGCATTCTGAAATTTAATGGAAATTGTTTTGATGGCCTAACTTTTGCAAGTTGAGAAAGTTAGGCCACCATGCTGAAATGGCCTAGAAATGTCTTGATATTCATCTGATTTGTGTTCTAGGCCATTTTTAATATGGTGTCCTAACTTTTGGTAATTGAGTTTTCTAGGTAAACCTTTTTGAAAATTGACGATTCAAATGCTCATTTCATAATTAAACTTTTATGTAAATCCCAAAATTGCAACTCACGCCAAACGAGTGGACATCTCTCACTATTTACCGCATTCGTGAATTCCAAATAACAAACTGGACACTCTTTTTGAACTGTATTGAACTGTTCTCGAATAAGATCTTGAACACTTTTCACTGCTTTTTCAATCTCATCCAATTCGCTCTGAACTTTTAGTTGTTCTTCAAGTTGCTGTTTGACAACTACATATTGAAGTTGGACTTTTTGAAATTGGTCCTGGAATTTGAATTTTTCACAAAGGAATCCTTTTTTGTGAAATTAACTTACCATAATCGCTGTTATAGAATCCTCTAATTTCTTCTCCTCACGTTCTTCTTCCTCCAAAACGCTTTCTTGATCATCTAGACGACGTCTTAGTTCTTCTGGAGATTTCAAAGCGTGCTCAGCAGATATTGACTGAAAAATTGTGTTATGTGTTGTGCAAAAAAAAAAACCGCTAACCGTCCACTTGTTATGTCGAAAGGTTTCCTCATAATTTAGATGTGTGAATCGAGTTTTAAGATCCGATTGCGCAATACCTTCTTCAAGTTCCGGTGTCCCTGAAAATCCCAATTAAAAAAAAAATCCTCTGAATTGATAAAAATCCCTACATTTCTCAAATTTCACCTCAACCAGCTCTGGCTTTGTCAATAATTTTCTAAAATCATCAAGCGAAGGAGGCTTCCTGGCTTCCTTGGTTGTAATGAATAAGCTACGCTTCTCTTCCATTCCCTTGTATCTTTGAAAAATTAGTTGGAAATCTGGAAATGTTAAAAATGTTGAACAGAGCGCGTTTGCATTTAAAACTAACTTTCTGGAATTTCAGGTTTCGAAGACTTGGTGACATTGTGAATATTATTAGGAACACATACACTTATCCTTTTATAGAATTCTTGTTCCCGCACTATTTTTTCTCTTAATGTGTCTGTTATTTTTCTGGAGTCCTCAATGATAGAACTGCTATCTTCTAGGAGCGACGTTTGAGCCTGGAATTACAGTAGGATTGATAAATAATTCCCGTTAACCACCTTAACTGGAATAGAACCAAATACCGTAAAACCTTTAACAGAGGGCCCCCCACACTGTTAAGCTTGAGCTGAATTATCGGCCCTTATGAGAGATATCAAAAATGTATCAACTGATAAAATGTTGGTGAGATTATGACAAACAATTTATTAGTTGACAATTTTTTGATATCTCACATAGGAGCCGAGATGATTAAGCTCAAACTTAACAGTGTGGGGGCTCTTCTATTACTGGTTTTACAGTACATGAGCTAAAACTTCAGACTGTCTGAAAAGTATTCAAATATTTTCATGTCTCACCTCCGCAATTTGGTCCACCATTGTAATAAACGCTCCTCTTTTGCCCTTCAATTGCTTCATATTTTCTTGTGTTGTGTGGCGCATACAGAAGTCAAAATCGTCATTGTATTTTTGCATGATCTGAAAATTGAACTTGTTTTTGTGGATTCTCAAAAAATATATTATTGCTGTCTGAAAAGTGAAGGTTAAAGAGTAATTAATTGCAATTGCAGTAATTGCAGTCTGAATACGGTAGGTTTCTCGAAGCGGCAATCTTAAATAGCACATATTAGGTGGAGACGCTTTTTCTCTGAGCCTCAACCTTCATTTTTTCAGACAGCGTTAATACCGAAAGTTGTCAACTACTAAAATTTGTAAACTTTTAGCACAAATATTTTATATAGTGTTTCCATTGGGGCAGATAGAAAAATGGACCAGGGAAACGAGAACTCACCATCGTCTGCTTATCAATGCCCCTTATTGATTCTTCATACGAGTTGATGAATTTTTTGACTTCCTGAAATTACAGTTTTTCTGAAAATCAAAAAATCTTAAACTGACCTTTTCGCTTGCCTTGATGACTTGAATTTTTGGCGCGATAGACTCGTAAATTATCACAGGATCATCGTCATCATCATCAATAATCACGATTTCCGGCTGCTCTAAAACTTTCTCACACTCTTCTACAGGTGGTAGTTGTCTTTTTAGGCGATCCAAACGTTTTCTAAAATGAAGCCAAGGCTGAAACACTTGAAATTTTTGTGATGACGGTATTGGCGAAACGACTTACTAGTGGCGGGCGATTTGGTTGGTCTCCAGACATATTTTTTGAGATAAAAACTCTCGGTTGGCGGAAAGAAATTGTACTGAAATATGAAGTCAATTGGAAACAAAAAATAAATGGATATAAAAAGTGGCTCTAGTTGGTTATTTTCAATTTTAAAGATATTTTATGATTCTATTAAAAATTTTGGATCTTAAAAATTCGATTAGAATGTATTTTGTGCAGAAATCTATGTCCATGAAAATAAAGAAAAAAATCTGAAAAATTCCTACAATATGGACAATATTCCTACAATCGCGTCGAAAAAGCGAAGATGTATCTTGTGGCCGAGTTTCCGAGTGTGAGTTTTCTAGGCCACCCGCGAGAAACAAGCGCGCGAATTCGAATTTTATATTGATTTTCAGTGTTTTTTTTCATATTTTTGAGGTTTTTCAAGGTTTTCGTTAATTCTCCCAGATATTGAAAAAGCAATAAAAATTATCACCGCACACCAACTTTGAAGAAATTTTCGGATTCAAATTAAAAATTTAGATTTTCAAAAAAAAACTATTATAATCCACTTATTTTTCCAAAATAATTTTGGATTTCCTTTAAAATCTAAAAATTTCTTTGGAATCCAAAATTTTCTTCAAAATCCAAAATTGTTGTTAAAATTCGCAATTTATTTAAATCTAAAAATTTCTTTGAAGTCCAAAATTTTTATGAAAATTCAAAAATTTCTTAGATGGTGGTGTGCGGAAAAAATTTTAGTGTTTTATTTTGTGCACAAAACTATGTGGATTCCCATAAAAATAAAGAAAAAATTCCTTCAGTGAGAAAAACGCATCGAAAAAGCAAAGTTCTATCTTGTGGCCGAGTTTCCGAGTATGAGTTTTCTAGGCCACCCGCGGAGAATAAGCGCGCGAATTCAAATTTCATATAGGTTCTTAGTTTTCTTTTCATATTCTTGAGGTTTTTCGAGGGTTTTGTTGGATTCTAATAAAAAATTTGGATTTTGAAAAAAAAATTTTATTTTTTAAATTTTTTGAATTTATTATTTAGAGAAGGCCAGAAAATTTTGAGCTTTAAAGAAAAATTTTGATTCTAATCAGGAACATTTTGGATTTTAATGTAACAAGATTTTGAAATCCAAATGTTCTTTTAAATCCTACTTTTTCTTCAAAATTCAATTTTTCCAAATCCAAAATATTCTTTAATTCCAAAATAAACAAATAGAGCCTGAGAAGTTATGGGAACAATAAGAAACGTTTTGAAAATTAGTTTATAAAAACGAAGAAAAAAAGAGCGTTCTGTCTGTTACACCGTCTTCTGTACCCTAGATTGAGGTACCAGAGTGAGAGAGAAGAGAGTGAAGAGAGATAGACAATGAGAGGGAGAGAGTAAGAGAGACACACACTCTCTCGTGTTGCATTGTGTGTGTATGTGTTGCATTTTGCCAGTGGGAACAGAGACATCTGCCTGATGTTCGCGCGAAACGTTTGGCCTAGGAGGCGGCCTAATAATTTGGGAGGTGCACTGGGGTGCAAACCTAATTAGAGGTTCAAAGTCCTCAATTTTTTCAGTGTTTCAAATTACCTCCGTTTTTGGGCAAGTTAGGCGCCGTTGCGAACTCTATTGGTGAATATCAGTTGATTTGATTATTAAAAAAAAAATTATTTTGAATAAACCCGATTTTACAAAACATTTTCTAGAAAAAATAACAATAAAAAACCCGAATGAAAAACCCTGGAAATTTGGAAAATAACTACAGAAGAGATAAGGGTGCATGACATTGATAAGGGCCAAAAACAGTAAAACCATTGAATTATTACAAACATTACGTCGGCTTTGGCATCAATCCGAAATTGGGTGTAAACTTTTTGAGCGTATGTTTTTTGCGACAAACTGGACACTGTGGCTTAAAAGGCTTCGTGATGTCGACTAGGGTTTGAGAACAATTGTTGCAGGTTGTGTGACCGCATTCTGAAATTTAATGGAAATTCTTTTGATGGCCTAACTTCTGCAGTTTTCTAGGCCACCATGGTAAATGAACTAGAAATAGCCTGATATTAATGGCAACTAACGTGGCGGCCTAACTTTTGCAAGTTGAATTTTTGGCCACAACTTTTATGGTTCGAATTTTCAAACAAAATTTTGAAAGTTTTCGAGCTAATTTTTGAAATTTAAAAAAATATTGCTTTAGGTGATAATTTAGGTGAAAATGTCGTCAAAATCTTCTAAATTTTTCAGAAAAAAGTATAAGAAAAGCTTGTAGTTCTAAAAAAATGTTATTAAAAAGTTGCTCTTGGAGTTTTGGAGAAGATCTGTCAAGGTATCTATTCAGATGACTAACATTGACAATTTTAACTAAAAATTCCAAAATCAAAACTTACGCCAAACAAGTGGACATCTCTCACTATTAATCCCATTTGTAAAATCCAGCAAACAAACTGGACACTCTTTTTGAACTGTATTGAACTGTTTTCGAATAAGATCTTGAACACTTTTCACTGATTTTTCAGTGTGATCCAGTTCGCTCTGAACTTTTTGTTGTTCCTCAAGTTGCTGTTTGACAAATACATATTGAAGTTGGACTTTTTGAAATTGGTCCTGGAAAAATTGAGATTCATAAAGGAATCTTATTCATCTTAAGTTTATTTACCAATATTTTCGTTACATAATCCTCTATCTTCTTTTCCTCGCGTTCTTCTTCCTCCAAAACGCTTTTTTGACTTTCTAGACGACGTTTCAGTTCTTCTGGAGATTTTGAAGAGTACGCAGCAGATATTGTCTGAAAGAAAAAAGTGTTATGTGTCGTAAAAAATAATACTTACCTTCCACTTGTGATGATGAAATTTCTCCTCATAGTTAAGTTGTGTGAATCGAAATTTAAACTGAAAAGTTTTACTCTCGGAAAGTTGATTTTGAAAAAACTCACATCCGAATTCTGCGCAATACCTACTCCAAGCTCTGGTGTCCCTGAAAATTTAAAGTTCAATAAAAGGGCCCTTCTAAAAAAGGTTATATTTCTTACAACTCTCAAATTTCACAGCAACCAGCCCTGGCTTCGTCAACAATTTCGTAGCATTATCAAGGAAAAGAATGTCAAATTTTTCATCTCTCCTGGCTACCCTGGATACCAAGAATCCAATAGACCATTCTTGCATCTTATCGAATCTTTTCAGAATTTGTTGGAAATCTGAAATCGTTGAAATTAGTGAGAATAGAGCGCGTTTACATTTGAAACTTACTCTCTGGAATTTCTGGTTTTGAGGACTTCGTGACATTCAGAATATTATTAGGAACACATAAACTTATCCTTTTATAGAATTCTTGTTCTTGTACTGTCTTCTTTGGCAATGTGTCTATCATTGTTTTGGAGTCCTTAATGATACAATTGCTATCTTCTAGGAGAGACGTTTGAGCCTGGAATTACAGCAGAATTGTAAAAAAAAAGCAAATTGAGAGAAATTATTTGTTTAAAAAAATTTTCCGAATCCCATTGACAGAAGGCGACCTTATACTTGCACTTTGAGCTGAATTATCTCAATTCCTATGAGAGATATCAAGAATGTGTCAACTGATAAAATCTTGGTGATATTATAAAAAAGTTTTACCAGTTGACAGATTTTTGTTATCTCTCATGTAAACTGAGATAATTGATCTCAAAGTGCAAGCATATGTAGTTGCCTTCAATTAGAATGTTTATGGTAATTGAGCTCAAACTTTAGGCTGTCTGAAAAGCCTTCAAATATTTTTATGTCCCACCTCCGCGAGTTGATCCATCATTGTGATAAATTCTCGCCTTTTGCTCTTCAACGTTTTCACATTCTCTGGATTTGTATGCCACATACAGAAGTTAAATTCGTCATTGTATTTTTGCATGATCTGAAAATTAAATTTTTTTTGTGGATTCTCAAAAAATATTGTTAAAATTCCTAAAATATCCTAAAAAGGGCTTAGATAAGACAATGAAAAAAAATTAAGGCTGAGCAATTGAACCACGAGAACTTACTGCCGTCTGCTTCTCTATGCCTCTTATGATTCTTCATATGAGTTGATGAACTTCTTAACTTCCTGAAATTACAAATTTTCTAAAAATTGAAAAATCTCAAAACTCACTTCTTCGCTTGCCTTCTTGACTGTAACTTTGGCTGTAACTTCCTCAATTTTGACTGTAACTTCCTCAATTTTTGGCTTCTTGAAAACTACCTCACATTCTTCTACGGACGGTTGTCTTCTTTTTAGGATATTAACATTTTCTGCCTGAAAAATTTGACATTTTCTTTAGAAATAGGAACAAAAAAGCTTACTTTTGACCGAGGTTCCGGTTCGTTTTCGGACATTTTTTGACGATAAAAATACTGGGTAGGTGGAGTGAAATTGTGCTGGAAAGTTTAGGAAATAGGAAGAAAAAGAAAAAATGCAAAAAATTATAGAAATATTAGGAAACGCTTTCGACAATTAGTGAAATAATATTAGCAAGAAAATAGCGTTATGTCTATCACACCACCTCCACCATTGCCTGTGCGCTAGTTTATGATTCTTGCCGTACCAGAGAGCGACAGAGAAGAGAGTGAGAGTGAGAGTGCGCCTCTCTCTCTCCTTCTCCTCCTACTCCTCCTCCCGGAGAGAAACACACACAAAGGGCGGTTTGATGGCCAAAGTGCGCGTAAAGAGGAGGCAGTCAAGACGTGGGGTACTGTAGGGGTGCTTGCGCAAGACCTAGCCCTCCCCTCTTTTTGCCATCGGATGGTCCGCCCACACAGATAGACATCTGCCTGGTGTTCGCATGAAACATTTGGCCTAGGAGGCGGCAATTAGGTGCGGCAGTCTAATTTTGTGACCCCAGATTAGCGTTTTTCGTCCCTATAAATTATTTTATACCTTGCTGAACCCCGAGTTGTTGTACTCTCCGAATTATTTGGCATAAGAGATAAGGGGCAATTTTTGTGTTGCTTCTGGTTGGAGGTTGGTCCGGATAAGTCCATTGTTAAAGCCAATCAATATCTGACCATGGGCCGCTCAACAGCCGTTTTTTTTTCAAAAAAATATTCCAGAACCTTCTATTGGAAGCTTTTAGAAATGGAGCGAACCGATTTTTGGAGATTTTGCTTTTTTTGTGAATTTGTGATTTGTGGCTATGTGAATCTCTACATTTTTTTCTGAATTAGGGGTACAAAACTGACAATTCGAAAATTCAAAATTCGAAAAAAAAAACCTGAATTAACGATTTTGTACCCCTGTGTACCCTGTAAATGATTAGCTCCAAACGTTAGCTGAAATATGGTCAGCAACAACGAAGAGTGTAGTCGTGCCTCTCGGGCAGATGGTCCCGAGAAGGGAAGGTGGTGCGGGAATGTGGTGCGAGAGAGAGAGAGGGGGGCAGACAGAAGGGGCTCCTCTGTTGTCTGATTGATAGTCATCGTGAGATAGGTTGCGTGTACCGTAATAACACAATTAACACTCTGTTTATTAACATGTAGAGAGCACATACAAATAAATCAACGGGGGACAGATGTAAGAGAATCAGCGGATTTACAGTAACGCAGTTTTTCTTTAAAATGGTAGGACAACAATGATTGACATCAAAAATGATCCCGACAGTCTTCAAAAGAAAAAAACACGGAGTCTTAAAATGTCTCAAAATGTGTTTGGACACTGCACAGCCACACTTTTTAATTTTCCCATACTTGAAAATTGAGCAAAAAATATCGAAAATTGTCGATTTTCTCACTTTTATAAACAATCAAATAAATTGAAAAAGCGTCGAAAATCAAATTGATAGCACCGATTACATGATAGTGAGTCACCAACCAAGAACGGAATTGAAAAGTCGATGTCATACATTTTATGCTGAAAAATATATCTTTGCGTTCGAAAAATATTTTGTTTTGGGGGTTAGAAGTAATTTAATAATACAAAAAACAGAAATGTAATATTTGAGGACTATGATAATCTGAAATTGGTTGCATTTTGATCATAAAGTGAGGAATGTGAAGCAGCTGAAATGATAAATCAGAAAAAGCAATTTATGAAAAGTTTTGGTTTTTAATATTTATACAAGGAAAAACGAGGTGTTTGATGTTTCACAGCTTTTCTGAAAGAGGGAAAAAATAGTTTTAGGGTAACGTCACAAAAAGGGCGCCCTAACTTTGGGTCAGTTTATCTCGATTCCCGTGAATGATATTGAAAAGTAGTCAACAGGAAAAACATTCGCCATAATTTCAAAATCGTTTTGCTAGTTTAACATTTCTCGATATCTGTTACAGAAACCGAGATAAGTTTAATCAAAGTTGAAGGTTAGGGGCCCTTCAATTGGAGATTTCACTTTATAAGAAGTTTTATTGAAAACAAGTTAGTGATTGAAAACACGGTTGAAAATACAACCCCCAAAACAAAATATTTTTCGAACGCAAAGATATATTTTTCAGCATAAAATGTATGACATCGACTTTTCAATTCCGTACTGGTTGGTGACTTACTATCATGTAATCGGTTCTATCAATTTGATTTTCGACGCTTTTTCAGTTTATTTGATTGTTTATAAAAGTGAGAAAATCGACAATTTTCGATATTTTTTGCTCAATTTTCAAGTATGGGAAAATTAAATATCGAACAGTTGAAATATTTTTTTTCAGATGGCTTGCTGTTTTACAGATATTCATTTGACTTTCCTATTCCAACCAGTACCTTTATATCCTTTAGTTTCTGGTTATGTTATGGGATTAGGTGCGGTTTTTGGTGCTACCACTCATGTTTGTATGGTGAGTCACATTTGAGTTTAATTATCTGCGTTCCCAATAATTTCTAAAAAATTGATAAGATTATAAAATATGCAAAATCGAAATAATCTTTTTTTTTGGATTTTCTAGGTTCTGAGCTAATTATTGGATTTTCTAGGTCACAGCCCTATTTTTTGAGTTTTCTAGGTCACGGCCTAATTTTTGGGGTTTTAGGCCATGACATAATTTTTTGGGTTTTCTAGGTCATGACCTAATTTTTCGATTTTATAGGTCATGGTCTTTTTTAATTTTTTGGATCATGACCTAATTTCTGGGGTTTTAAGCCATGACCTGATTTTTTTGTTTTTCTAGGTCATGACCTAATTTTTTTGATTTTCTAGGTCATGACCTCATTTTTGCATGTTCAAGGTCATGACCTAATTTACCTAGCGTCGCCTTGATTCTAATTAATCTGTTTCCTGGCAAAGTTAACAAAAAAAAATGTAAGTTTAAAGGGGGACTACGATCAAAATTTTTTATTGCCTTAAAATGTTTCAAAAATATGTATTTTCCAAATATTATTGCGAAAAAATTCAAAAAAATCCTAAATCCCCGAAAAACGGCGTTGAAAAAAAAAAGGATTTGAATTCCCGCGCAGTGAGAAACCTATACCACGGCATCATAGCGCCTTTCTTACATGGAAATTTTTCCGGATTTTTTCGGTGTTCATGTCCGGCAGGTAGAAAACGTAAAAAACCACTGTCAGCCACTTGAAAAAACGGCTGTCAGGCGCCGTGGCCTAGGTTTCTCACTGCGCGGGAATTCAAATCCTCGTCCCTCCTAGCAACTTTTTTTTGAAAATTTTCCGCTTTTAACGGCATTTTTCGGGGGTTTCGGATTTTTTTCGAATTTTTTCGCTATAATATTGGGAAAATAGACAACTTTTCGAACATTTTGATGCAATAAAAATTTTTGGCCGGAGTCCCCCTTTAAAGAATTAAAAAGCTAAAAATTACACAGTATTGTAGCTTACAACTTTTTGATAATTTTCACAGGAACAAAGATTTCGTAAATGGTCTATCAAAAGCTCCCCTGCACTTTGAGCTCAATTATCTCGGTTCTTTCGAAATGTATCAAAAAGTGATCAACTAATAAAACGTTTATCATAATATCATGAACACTTTCTAAATTTGCCAGTTTTTGATATCTTTCATAGGAACTGAGATAATTGAGCTCAAAATGAGAGGGTTCAGTGCGGCATAATATTCCTCCTTATCTATCAAATCGGCAGTATGATCGCCTGTTTTGTCAAGAAGCATCAAGCTATAGCAGGAATTTCAAGGAAATCTGTGATTCCTAATATTTTGCTTCTTTTTATGTTTATCTATTTTGTCATTTATACAATAAGTGTCACAGGAATTTATGCGACGTTGAATGTTCCAGAAGATGAAAAATTTGAACTTGTGAAGAAGGCAAGCTTGTGAAGAGGCTGAAAATCCATATGAAAAAAATTCAGAAATACCCAACATATCTCGAAGGCTTCCGCTCTCTTCCCAACTTCTCTATTTACGATCCATCCGGATATTTCGTCAAATTTGTGATCTACTCATTGGTTGGAGGAATCGCGGCGTTTTTTACACTAGTATTGGTGCTTCTGAACATTTCCAGAATGTTAAGGATTCTGAAGACAAAAATGTCGGCGTCAACCTATCAGAAGCACAAATCCGCGATTTTTTGTCTTTTGGCACAGTTTTCCACGTCGTCAGTTATATTTTTGCCGCCGATATTTTTTGTTTTTGTGATTCTGATGGGGGCAAATGGAGCACAGTGTAAGTAATATCATAATAGTTTTAGTTTGACTTCTTTCGTGGAATAGAGCGACCTAACTTTCTCATCCTGATTTTTTAGGCCAAAATGGTAAGTGGCCAAGAAATGGCTTGATGATGACACTGGTGTGTTTTCTAGGTCATTTTCAAATGGTGACCTAACTTTCACAAGTTGAGTTTTCTAGGCGACCACTGCAAATTGCCTAAGAATGACCTGATATTCATTTGGATGGTTTTCTAGGTCACTTACCGTGGTGGCCTAACTTTCGCAAGTTGAGTTTTCTAGGCCAGTTGCTATTGTGGCCTAACTTTTGCAGGTCGGGTTTTCTAGGCCAGCATTGTAAATGACCTAGAAATGAACTTGTGTTCAACTGATATTTTTAGGACATTTTTACATGATGGCCTAACTTTTGAAATTTGAGTTTTCTAGGCCACCAACTGATCTGATCTGAAACTCTTCATAAAATTTTTTTCTAAACATTACAGTAATCGTCGAATACCTGCTTGTCATTGCTTGCTCCCACTCGACACTGAACGTAGTAGTGCTGATAATCACCTTTCCACCGTATCGAAAATTTGTAGGAACCAAATTCTTTGGGATCAAGTTAGAAGCAAAAATTTTGACGTATATAAAATTTTGAATTTTCAGAAAAACTGGAAGTCGCTTCAGTCTGTTCACCAACAAGCAGAGTGTTTGTGGAGTGGTCAGTATGGGATAATTATCAATTTTGGAAAACTTTATTTTCCAAAATCTTCAAATGAATTATATGTAAAAACCTTTGTCAAATCGAGAAAATTCAGAAAATTATTAATTTTTATTTTTTGGGTCCACACTTGTTTGCAAACAAAAACAGTGCCCTTAACTTGCAGACAAACGAAAAACACTTGCAAATTGAAGATACTGTAGTTGTTTGCAAAAAGATTCGAAACGTTTTTCTTTGCGTCTCTCTTTTTCTTCATTCTTACATGTCTGATTCCCCTATGAGTCAATTTAACGATCATAAAAGTGATTGGGGACAAGGTTGACGAGGAGCCAACCCCCAGACAATCAATCATTTGAATATTTATCGGTCTCCCATCCCACAAGCCCCTCATTCCTTTCTTCTACCCTAATGGAAACCAGAATGGTAAGATTCCCAGATAATTCCAAACACTCTCATTTCATTTTTTCAGTGGCAACATCTCAAAACTTCGAAAAACGTCCTCTGGGACTTCTACTACATTTACGAGCAGCGTTGGGCGCATATCTACATGGATCAGTTGATGGAATTGACCGGCAAGACCGAGAGACAGGTAAGGGGGATTATTAGGTGGACTGTGTAGAGATGCTTTTAGGTCAGCGACATTCTGCAGTATTACCGTTCAATTGACTACCAACATGGGATCAGGATTCCATGTCAAAAATACACACCAACTCAGACTTACTATCTCAAGAAGGCTTATCGGGAATCGAGATATGCTGGAAAGGACAAGACAACTTATTTGGTCAAAAAGACGCGGCTCTTGAGGAATCAGGTATTTT